CCCCAGCATTGCAGCTGGGTTTAGTTAGGAACCGTGATCAATTACTTCACCTCCTGGAAAATTACTTAACTACTTTCCTCACCAGGAAGAGAGACTCAGGAGCTACCTACCTCGTGGGGTGGTTGTGAGGATCAGATGAAATACTATTAAATTGTGACTGGCCCTGGGACTCTTTCCTTGTTGGCTATTTTTTAATAAAACATTGTTAATAGTTTGGGACACTTTAGTTTTCCCTCCTTTTTATGAGTATCTGTGTAGGTATGCTTTTATCATAAAATGTTGGTAACATTCAGATGCAGCAAACTGTAAAAGGCTTGTGCAGACTCTGAGCTCCTGCAATGAATTAACCAGTTGATGAGAATAATCCACCAGGTGGATGGAAGCTCAGCCATGCCTGGGTATAGAGACCATGATCTGGGCTCTGCTCTGTTCTGGGCTGGGGGGTGGGGTGGGAATGAGGGACTGGATACATATCCTGTAGAGGCCTGGCCATCTTGGGCTCACAGGGGAGAGGATGGAAACATGCTTTTGTGGGTCTGAAGCAGAAAGGATCACAGGGAAAGGGTGAATGACATAGCAAGACTCCAAGTCTTGGGTCCTTGGGGGTAGGGAAGGCAGCAAGGTCTCACCGTGGGAGTGAGGCTAGCTGAGAAGAGGCTCGGGGGGAAATGGGTACATTCAGAAAAAGGCAGGACTGGGTTAAGGGTCCATGGCTCTGACCCCAAACTCTCTCTCCATGCCCCTACCAGCGCTTCTACATGGCCACGTCACGACAGCTGAAGCGGCTGGAATCGGTCAGCCGCTCACCCATCTACTCCCACTTTTCGGAGACAGTGGCTGGCACCAGTGTCATCCGGGCCTATGACCGCAGTCATGACTTTCAGGTCACCAGTGATACTAAGGTGGACACCAACCAGAAGAGCTGCTACCCCCATATCGCCTCCAACCGGTCAGAAACCATCTCCCTCCCCTGCCGCTCCTCCAGGGGTTCCCACCAGGCTCTCTGGTGTCCAGGGACCTGTCTCCTCCTGTCCCCTACACAGGAAACTGGTGTCTTCCTATACCTGTGCCATTTCCTCCTTGTCTGTCCCCCACAGGTGGCTGGGCGTCCGAGTGGAGTTTGTGGGGAACTGTGTGGTGCTCTTTGCTGCCCTGTTTGCTGTGATCGGGAGAAGCAGCCTGAACCCAGGGCTGGTGGGCCTTTCTGTGTCCTATGCCCTGCAGGTATGGAGGAGCCTGGACACCAGGGCAGGGCCACCACTGGGGTACAGGTCACAGTGTCACAAGCATCTCCTGATGCTCCACTTAATGTGGGGCTCTGTCCTCAAGGGCTGTGTACTCACAGTCCAGCTTGAAGAGACACCCTCATCAGCAAGGGATGGGACAGACGCAGGCCGAGCAGGTCTTTGTGGCTGGAGAAGCAAAGGGTTTTAAAAGCCTGGAGGAGTTTTCCTGCTTTGGAATATTGGAGAAATGATCTTGGGGTTTGGCCCCAAAAGACAAACAAAATCTGTCCTGTCTCTGGACAAGAAGTAGGCTCCTGAGCTAGAGGTCAGCAGAGTGCAGGGCTGGAACACGCTTTACATTCACATGCCTGCTGAGAAAGTGCACAGCTTTGGCGACTGCAGCCCTGGCTGGAGGTCAGGCAGGTCAGCCTGATGCCAGCCGTATTGTCAAAGAGTTACCTAACTGCAAAGGGAGTTTTTGTAAAGCAGATCACATTTTTAATGCTTCATGTGGCTCAAATCTTGGACGCGTTGGCAAACAAAAGACATCCCAGAAAGGTTAGTTTTCTCAAACTTTCAGGGGCATGTGAATTGCCTGGAGATCTTGTCAATGTTCATTCTGGCTCAGCAGGCCTAGGATGGGCACAGAGTTCTGCGTTTCCCTCAGGATTCCTGGGTTCGAAAAGTGTGGTCCATGGGCTGGGTCACATCAGCATCTTTGGGGAGCTTGTTAGAAATGAGCACTCTTGGCCAGGTGCGGTGGCTCACGCCTGTAATCCCAAAGCTTTGGGAAGCCGAGGCGAGAGGATTGCCTGAGCCTGCGGGTTCGAGACCAGCTTGGGCAACACGATGAGACTTCGTCTCTACACTCAATCAAAATATTAGCCAGGCGTGGTAGTGAGCACCTGCAGTTCCAGTTACTTGGAGGGCAGAGAAGGAAGGATCGCTAGAGCCCAGCAGGTTGACGCTGGGGTGACTGTGAGCATGCCACTGCTCTCCAGCCTGGGCCATGGAGTGACACTCCAACTCAAAAAAAACAAAAAAAGGAAATGAAGGAAATGAGCACTCTCAGGTCCCAGGTCCCATCTCAGGCCTCCTGAATCAGAAGCTGCATTTTAACAAGATCCTCTGGGAAGTCTCACACATATTAAAGTCTGAGAAACACTGGACAAGGTGGTCCTTGACTGAGTCTGCATTGTCACTGCCCAGGGTACAGTTATGATGAGAGCCCCAGCTGGCACACTGTGGGCTTGCCCAGGCCCACCTGGGTCATTAGTGGGGTAGGATCCCATGGATGGGCATGTGATCAAGGTGTTTGAACTCTCTAAAGCCATCGCAGCAGGGAGGAGAGATCTCTCAGTTGTAACCCAGTCCCTTTGGCCAGGTGACGATGGCTCTGAACTGGATGATACGAATGATGTCAGATATGGAGTCTAACATTGTGGCCGTGGAGAGAGTCAAGGAGTACTCCAAGACAGAGACTGAGGTAGGTACTGGGATGAGCCTAGGGAATGGGAGGCCTGAAATCACTGGCGAAGAATGCTTGGTGGCATGCCATCCCCAACGAGGGCCAGCTATTGAGGTGACTCTTCATGTGTTCATTTATCCATCCAGTCCTTCTTGACCATCTAGAGATCTATGGTAGGAGGTGTGGAGGGTTCAGAGTTGCACAAGTTGAGGTCTTCCCTCAAGCAGATTCTGACTCAGTGGGAGGGGTAAGACGTACTATAGGGCTCTGCCGCAGAGGACAAGAGCTCTGGTGCGGGCAACCAGAGAGGGAGATGAGGGAGGCCTTTCGGCTGGGGTGTTCGGGGAGGTGAGCTTACATCTGAAGGATGAACAGGTTTTGATAGACTAGGCAAGATGGCGTATGGGCAGTGGGAGGGTGAACATTCCAGCCCAAGAGACCAGCCTGTGCCAAGGGAAAGAGGTGGGGCAGTGTGCCCTTTGCTGGGAAAAAGGAGTGGTCCTCTAATGGAAGGTTCAGACTTTTCTTTACCGACCCACTCCCATGGTCACACCCCAGGGCTCTTCGTACCCACAAGCTACACCATCTCTGAGATTTCTGTTTTGTTTTTTGGTATTTTTGAATTGGGAGTCTCACTCTGTCACTCAGATTGGAGTGCAGTGGCCGCTCCCGGCCACCGCAGCCTCGACCTGCGGGGCTCCAGCGATCCCTCCGCCTCAGCCTTCCAAATAGCTGGAACTACAGGCGCGCGCTACCATGCCCGGCTTATTTTTGATTTATTGTAGAGATGAGGTCTCGCCAAGTTGCCCAGGCGGGTCTCGAACCTGCAGGCTCAGGCAATCCACTCACCTCAGCCTCCCAAAGCGCTGGGATTACAGGCTGAGCCACTGAGCCCTGCTCATCTCTGAGATTTCAGTGTCAAGCATTCCCCTTTTATTTATTTAATTACTGTTATTATTGCTTTTGAGTCAGGGTCTCACCTGTCACCCAGGTTGGAGTGCAGTGGTACGATCCTGGCTCATAGCAGCCTCCACCTCCTAGGTTCAGGTGATCCTTCCACCTCAGCCTCCGGGGTAGCTGGGACTACAAATGTGCACCACCATGCCTGGCTCATTTTTTGATTTTTTTGTAGAGATGAGGTTTTGCTATGTTTTCCAGGCTGGTCCTGAACTTTTGGGCTCAAGCGATCCTCTTGCCTTGGCCTCCAAAAGTGCTGGGATTAGAGGTGTGAGCCACTGAGTCCAGTCACATTCCACTTTTAGATCACCCTCCTGTCCCTCCCAGCTCTCATGTTCCAAATCTGTCACTGTCAAAGCACTTTGTCCTCACTGGGACCCCTACTTCTGCCTGTCCTGTGACCCAGCTTTTTCTCTGTCCATTGGCTCCTCTGGATTTGAGTTTATGCTTCATCCACACAATGTTCCCAACTACCTTGCCTCTCATTCTCTCTCTCTCTCATTCTCTTTCTCTCTTGCTTCCGTTTTCTCTCTCTCCCTTTCTCTCTCTTGAGTTGGAGTCTCACTCTTGCCCAGGCTGGAGTGCAGAGGCACACTCACAGCCATTGCAGCCTCAACCTCAGGTGATCTTTCCACCTCAGCCTTTCAAGTAGTTGGAACTACAGGTGCACGACTAATTTTTTTTTTTTATTTATTGTAGAAATGAGGTCTCACCAAGTTGCCCAGGCTGGTCTTGAACCCCTGGGCTCAGGCAATCCCCTCACCTCCACCTCCCAAAGTGCTAGGATTACAGATGTGAGCCACCGTGCCTGGCCTTCCTTCTCTCTCTCTCTCTCTCTCTCTCTCTCTCTCTCTCTCTCTCTCTCTCTCTCTCTCTCCCTCCCTCTCCCCCTGTCTCTCCCTGTCCCTGTCTCTGTCTGTCTCTCTCTCCTACAAAACCCTACTCCAGCTGACCCACCGACCTACCTTCTTCATACCTATACTGAGCACCTAAAACCTTCCCAGAGAAGACGCTTTGATTTTACATCGAGTTTATGACTATACATCTCTGCTGGGCATTCCTACTTTGCTTCCCCAAGAGGCATGTGTTCCCACTTTCACAAAACCTCTTTGGAATTTTCTTAGTCCTCAAACCCCACTCCCCCTTGTACTCAGTCACTGACCTCACCTGACACTTCCATGAGAAATGGGTTAGAAGACGGGCGACGTTTCAGTCTCCAGACCTTTAAACCTCCTGTGTCTCTTTCTCCTTCTTCTCCCTTTCCCTTTCAGCAGGAGTGATCTATTTTCTTTCAAAGTCCAGGCCTTGTGTTGCTTCTCAAGGCTACTCAAGGACTTGACTTCCTTAGTCCCGCCCTCTGTCTCCTACACTGTCAGCCAGGCTCCCTCTGTTGGATAATTCCCTTACACAGGAGAATTTTTTTTTTTTTGAGTTGGAGTCTCACTCTGTCGCCCAGACTGGAGTGCAGTGGCCGCTCCCGACCACCACAGCCTCGACCTGCTGGGCTCCGGCGATCCTTCCGCCTCAGCCTTCTAAGTAGCCGGAATTACAGGCACGCGCTACCACACCCGGCTGAATTTTTGATTTATTGTAGAGATGAGGTCTCGCTGCCCAGGCGGGTCTCAAACCTGCAGGCTCAGGCAATCCACTCACCTCAGCCTTCCAAAGGCGCAGGACTACAGGCGGAGCCACTGAGCCCAGCCACAGGAGAATATTGCATCTCCTACTCTAGCCACAGAAACAAGCCTTTCTTGCCCCTGCATCCTCTGCCCCATGTCTCTACCCCCGCTTGTCGTGAGACTACTTTGTGTCATGTGGCCTACCCAGGCTCTCCCCACTTCCTCACCAGCCTTTATCTGTCTGCCTCCAGCAGGCCGCTTTCTGGCCCTGTGATCGCCCTGGTTCCAGATCGGGGGACACTTTTCTGTTCCTTTTTTGAGTCAGAGTCTCACTCTGTCACCCAGGCTGGAGAGCAGCGGTATACTCATGGCCACCCCGGCGTCAACCTGCTGGACTCAGGTGATCCTTCTACCTCAGCCTTCCAAGTAGCCGGAACTACAGGCACACGCCACCATGCCCAGCTAATTTTTTGATTTATTGTAGAGATGAGGTCTCGCCATGTTGCCCAGACTGGTGTTGAACCTGTGGGCTTAGATAATCCTCTCGCCTCAGCATCCCAAAGTGCTGTGATTACAGGCAGGTGCCACTGCACCCAGCTTGTTCTCTTTCAATTCAACCTCTCAGTGATGTTCAGATGAAGTGCCTGCCCCTCCCTTCTCCCTGACACTCCTGAATCCTGTGACTCCGTCTAGCCCCGTGCTCCTCCTTCCTCCCCTTCTCCCAACCTGGCCTCTCCCAGCCCTGCATTTCCAGATATCACCCTCCAGCCCCACTTCCTACTCTCTGGGGCCTGCACATTCTCCATCTTCGTGTCCAGCAGTCCAGTTCCCCTGTCTACATACATAAGCCTGTCTCCAATCCTAGAACAGTCTGCCCTTGATGGTGGTGCTTCAATTCTTCACTGCTGACCATATGGCTTCCTGGTGTGTGACCTGTGCAGCCACATGGGTCCCCACTGCTAGATGGACCCCGTGCTTAGAAGGGCCTGCATACGTGGGCCGACACTCTGCTGTTATCACCTTGATATTCTTAATGATTTTTGAACAAGGAGCCCCAGTTTTCATTTTGCACTGAGCCTCCCAAGAAATGTAGCCGGTCCTGTCTCAAAGCCACTACTATCTTATGCCCTGCTGGTCTATTCTAGTGACAGCCAGAGAGAGTTTTTAAAAACACATCAAATCATGTCATTCCTCTGTGCACAGCCCTCTAACGGCTTTGCATCTCACTCAGAATAAAAAAACACAGTCCTTAAAATGACCAGCAAGGCCCTCAGCAATGGGAGTACCTGCTACCTCAGCCTCCTACTTGTCACCTTTGTGCTCCAGGACACACCTGGAGGCATTTGCACTGGTTATTTCCTCCACCTGGCATGCCCTTCCCCCTGACATCTGCTTGGTTAAAGTCCTTACCTTTCAGTTGTTACTAAATATCAGCTCCTCCAGGAAGCCTTTCCTGACTTACCTTGTAGAGCCGCAACGCCAAGCATTTTTCGGCTCCTAGCTCTCGTCGCTTCCTACATTACACAGAGGTGTGTGTTTGTTGATGGCACGCCTCCGTATACTAGAATGTAAGTCCCAGGAGGGGACCTATACTTGCTGGGGACACCACTGTGTCACTACTGCCTGGTACTGGGTAGCCGCTCAGTAATAATGAACGGATAAAGGTGGTGAGGGGGGAGGTAGGGCAGGCAGGGGGGCACCTCAGGAAACATAGAACATGTGGAAAGACTAGGAGAGGCAGGACAAGGAGGTTCTGGAGTGACTCTGTGGGGAGTGAAGTCAGAAGAATGAAGGCATCATTGAACCACAAGGTTGAGCCCCAGACATGTGAAGGGCCCCCTCGACAGCCCCTCAGCCTCTTCCAAGACCACAGTTGGTAAGGTTTGAGGGTCCTCCAGAGACAGAGAGAGAGACAGATGGGGCAGGGCCAGTCTGGGGAAGGGAGGAGATGCCGCCCCAGTGAGAACCCTTCTGTCTGCCCCTCCTGCCAGGCGCCCTGGGTGGTGGAGGGCAGTCGCCCTCCCCAAGGCTGGCCCCCACTGGGGGAGGTGGAGTTCCGGAATTACTCGGTGCGCTACCGCCCGGGCCTGGACCTGGTGCTGAGAGACCTGAGTTTGCACGTGCGCGGTGGCGAGAAGGTTTGTGTGCGGTGGGAGGGCTGTGTGCACGTGCGCGCGCGCGCTCGCACCTGGGATACAGCCACAGCCCTCTTGGGGGCGAGGGTCTCTGAGAGAGCAGGTGTACCAGCCGGATGTCTGGTCCGCCTGCAGGGGAGTCCTGAAGATGCCCCGTGGCCTCTCAGCATCCCCCTGACAGCCCCTTCGCCACCCGCTCTAGGTGGGGATCGTGGGCCGCACTGGGGCTGGCAAATCGTCCATGACCCTCTGCCTGTTCCGCATCCTGGAGGCAGCAGAGGGTGAAATCCTCATCGACGGCCTCAACGTGGCCGACATTGGCCTCCATGACCTGCGTTCAAAGCTCACCATCATCCCCCAGGTACGAGCCTGGCAGGGACTGGCCACATTGACCAGAGACCCAGTGGGGCCAGGCCCCTCTCCTGTTCGGTAGTTTGAGATGGAGCCTGGGACCGCGGACTCAGAGGCTTGTGGTGGGGGCCAGACAGCAGGTAGCAGAGCCTCCAAGGAGCCATCCCAGTCATGGATCTGGAAGGGTCAAACACGGTTTGCTAATCAGGCCCTGCCCTTTGACCTCCTGGGCCAGCAAACAGGGAGAGGCCGTAGGACCCCTCCAGGGGCCCCACCCTCTGAGACGGTCAATCCTGGCCTCCTGGTTACACCACTTGGAATTACATTTCACTTTTTCTGACTCTTCAGGAATTTTTTTTTTTCCTGACTGGACACTTTGGAGTCAGATTTAGCAGAGGACTTCATGACTGACAAAGCTGAGGTTTATCACTACCCACCAGCAACGTACTATCTCCTTGGCTGTTGCCTTGCTGGGAGGGCAACAGGAACAGAGGGCTGGGAACAGAGTGGGAATGCTGCCACCTTAATCTCTCTTTTCCCCTGGGACCTGGGGCCCCTGGTTCCTTACGGTGCCTGAGCTGCCACCCCCTGAGGCCATGTCATGTCCCCAGGACCCCATTCTGTTTTCGGGGACCCTGCGCATGAACCTGGACCCCTTCGCCCGCTACTCAGAGGAGGACATTTGGCGGGTTCTGGAGCTGTCCCACCTGCATACGTTTGTGAGCTCCCAGCCAGCAGGCCTGGACTTCCAGTGCTCGGAGGGCGGGGAGAATCTCAGGTAAACACTGGCAGTGGATGGGTCGGGCACAGCAGCCTTCCCTGGGGAACCCCTGCGGGTGCTGGAAGGTCTGGTGTCGAATGATGCAGAGTTGAGGTCAGCCATGACTGGGTGCCAGGTGCAATGCACTACCTCACTGACTCTTTTTGTTTTTGAGATGGAGTCTCACTCTGTCACCCAGACTGGAGTGCAGTGGCATGCTCACAGCCACCGCAGCTCCGATCTGCTGGGCTCAGGTGATCCTTCTGCCTCTGCCTTCCAAGTAGTGGGAGCCACAGGCATGTGCCACCATGCTCAGCTAATTTTTTCTATTTATTGTAGAGATGAGGTCTTGCCATGTTGCCCAGGCTGGTCTTGAACCCCCCTGAGCTCAGGCAATCCTCTCGCCTTGGCCTCCCACCTCACCCGGCTGCCTCACTGACTCTTGACATAAGCCCTGGAGGTGGTCCATGATCACACTTCAAAAATGAGGAAACTGGGGTTCAGAGAAGGTACAGGGCTCAGCCAAAGTTGCACCGCGGGGAGAAGGCATGCCTGGGATTTGAATCTCAGGGAGATTTCAAAACTCTGTTGTCATGTCGTGTGAGGTCATTAATGCTATATTGGGATGGGGAGGGTGGTTCTGGACAAAACCCATGGAGCAGGTGAGGGGAAGCTTTCTGCCTTCCAGAGCTTTCTTCCAGCCCCAGATTTTATATTCCTGGCCACTTGGCTGTGCATCAGAGAGGGCCAGGACTCACTTGAGTCTAAAGGTTTAACATACCCATACCTGTGTTAGCTGTGTGATTTGGGGCAAGTTTCTTAACCTCTCTGTGCCTTGTTTCTTTCATTTAAAATGGTAATAATAGCCAGGTACGGTGGCTCACGCCTATAATCCCAGCACTTTGGGAGGCCAAGTTGAGCGGATTGCCTGAACCCACAGGTTTCAGCCTGAGCAACTTGGCGAGATCTCATCTCTACAATAAATAAAAAAATTAAGCCAGGCTCGGTGGCTCAGCCTGTAATCCCACGCCTTTGGGAGGCTGAGGTGAGTGGATTGCCTGAGACCGCGGGTTCGAGACCCGCCTGGGCAACTTGGCGAGACCTCATCTCTACAATAAATCAAAATTAGCTGGGCGTGGTAGCGTGTGCCTGTAGTTCCAGCTACTTGGAAGGCTGAGGTGGAAGGATTGCCAGAGCCCAGCAGGTCGAGGCTGCGGTGGCCAGGAGCGGCCACTGCACACCAGTCTGGGTGACAGAGTGAGACGCCAACTCAAAAAAAAAAAAAAAATTAGCTGGGCATGGTGGCGTGCACCTGTGGTTCTAGCTACTTGAAAGGCTGAGGCAGAAGGATCGTCTGAGCCCAGTAGGTTGAAGCTGTGGTAGCTGCAAGCATGCCACTGCACTCCAGCCTGGGCGATAGAGTGAGACTCTGACTCAAAAAAATAAAATGAAATAGTAAAATAAGATGGGAATAATAAAAGTCCATACTTCTTCACATCATACTGCCCAATAAGAATATAATGTAAGCCACATAGATGTAATTAGCATTTATTCTAGTAGCCACATTTTTAAAAGAAGGAAAAAGCATGTGAAAGGAATTGTAATCGTAGATTTGACCTAGCCCAATATAGCTAAAACATGATTATGTCAATATGCCATTGATATGAAAGCATCAGGGATATTTTGCCTTTTTTCATACAAGCGTGAAATGCAGCGTATATTTTACACGTACAGCGCATCTCAATATGGACGGGCCACATTTCACATAGCCATATTTCCTGTCCCCAGAACAGAGCCCTGACTTGTATTCCCTGTGGGGGGTAAGAGGTGATGGCCCAAAGTGTGTATTACTAGGCTCAGCAAGATGGCACAGTGTGGTTTCTATGCGAACAGCCAGGAAGAGCAATTCAAGCATGTTCTTACTAAGGTGTAAATGTCTGATAAGGTGAGGCCAGTGACTGCCATTGGGACAGAGCAGTCTTAGAGTCGGTGTGATAAAATGAAAAGCACTTAGCTCGGATGCATTTCTGTGGAATGCCAGCTGTTCTCTCCCCCTTCCCTTCCCCCCTTTCCTCCTCCCCCCTTCCCTCCCTCCTCCCCCTCCTCTCCTCCTGTCCCTCCTCCCCTTCGCCTTTTCTTTGCCTCTTCCTTCTCCTTATTTTCATTTTTATATTCATTCCATACTCATGGACCCTCCCCACACCTCAACAACTCAAACAAAACACTCCACATTTGCCCAGTACTTGACCGTGCTCGCAGCACTTTGGCCTCTGCTATCTCATTTCATCTTCACCACAGTCCTGCGGGCCGGAAACGAGGCTCCACAGTATGAAATGGTTTGCCCAGCGCAGCCCGGCTGGTCAGGGGCCGGATGGGGACACAAGGATATGGGGGCTTCTGTCCCAAACCTTTCCTGGCTGCATCCCAGCCACCTCCCTCACACAGAGGACTGATGAGACTCCTCTGCCACCCAGGCAGCCCTTAAGGCTGAACGTGCGCAGTAACTGGATCTTGCTTACATAACCACGCGTGGGGCGGCTGGAGGACCAGCCGGGCTCTCCAGCCCCTGCGTCTGTGGCTGTTGCCTGGTCTTTCTCCTATCCTGCTGGCCATCAGCACCGCCCCCAGAGCACCCCCCATCCCCCACCCACCAGGATCCAAGACAGGAACCAGCTCTCCTCCTCCTCATGAGCTTGTAGCCACTTTAAGTACAACCTGTGTCCTGTGCCCGTCCCACCATAAATCAGCCCTGAGTTCTATCAGGCGGCTCATTCTGTTGCCAAAACCTTCATTAGTTGCGGGAATGGGCTAGGGAGAGAGCCTGCCTGGCCTTTACTCCGGCTGTGGTGACTCACCCCTTTGGGAAGGGCTGAGGTATTTGTCCTTGGGGGTGGGGGTGCCATGGCCTCTGCGGCTGGGAACTCAGCCTCACTTTGTCCACCGGCTCTGGCTTGCAAGGCGGGAGGTTGAGGGTTTGCATCCCGCCCTTCCTTCACCTCCCCAGCGAACAGACACAGGGGGGAGTCCCTGTATCCTCCCCTGCCCTGTCCCTTCCTTGTCCCCAGAACAAAGCCCTGGCCTGTATTCCCTGTGGGGGTAAGGGATGATGGCCCAAAGTGTGTATTATTAGGCTCAGCAAGATGGCACAGTGTGGTTTCTATGTAAGCAGCCAGGAAGAGCAATGCAGGCTTGTTCTTACTAAGGTGTAAATGACTGATAAGGTGAAGCAGAGAAACATCCTGGCACTGGTTGAGAAGGACGGGGAAAGTTTAGAAAGGGGAGGCCGGGGGTGCCAAGAACAGATTGGGGATTTTGCAATGCCTTTCAGCACTGGCTCTATTCCCAAGGCCCCTCATTTTCCCTGGGGTGTCCAGACCTCTATTGTATTCCAGGAGAGCAGGGCTGGGGTCGCAATGGGAGAGGCTGGAGAGAAAGCCAGCCTGGGCCGCAGAGAAGGAGTGGAGGCAGAGCAGGTCTGGCAGCGAGGCCGGGAGGTAGGCTGGAGGCGCCCCGCTGGAAACGCCCGCTTCCCCATTCCCAGCGTGGGCCAGAGGCAGCTTGTGTGCCTGGCCCGAGCCCTGCTGCGAAAGAGCCGCATCCTGGTCTTAGACGAGGCCACGGCCGCCATCGACCTGGAGACGGATGACCTCATCCAGGCAACCATCCGCACCCAGTTTGACACCTGCACTGTCCTGACCATCGCACACCGGCTGAACACGATCATGGACTACACCAGGTAGGACACAGAAGCCCATGGGGGGGCGGTGGGTTGCCTGGGACACTGGGAAGGAGCAAGGCATCTGAGTGTTATCTGGGATGTTTCTGGGATTGGCTGAGGCATCTGGGGTGGGGCAGAGTTTCCCAAGTTATGGATGAAGGGTAGACCAACATGGGGATGCCTGGGCTCAGGGGTGGGCACATGTGATGTTTCCTGAACCTGTGGGGAAGGGGCACAATGGTCTCCAGGTGTTGGAACTGTGCCAGGCCGACTCCGTCCCGCCTCCGTGAGTGAAGTGAGGGGTCCTGAGCATCCGCTGATAGCGGTACCTCACTACCACCCTATCAGGCAGGAGTAATTACATTGGGTCGCAAGGGTGGCAGCTCAGGAAAGGGATGTAATGTCCAGGTGTCTGCCTTGGCAGCTGGACCCTGACGGCAGCAAGAACTTCGTGGTAAGAGCACTGTGCCTGAGCCAGAGGGCCTGTCCCAGGCTGCTGTGTGACCTTGGGCAACTTGCAAAACCTTTCTGAGCCCCTCTCAAATGGATATGGTAATGTCTCCCAGGATTGTTGTAAGGAGTCCTGGAAAATGTCAGTGTCCTCCCTGGCCCCAGACTGTCCCCCTCCTGTAATTTTCCTTAGTACTAGTCCTTCCAAGGATTAGGGAAGGGGCCTTACGCTTGTAATCTTGTGGCTTCTGGGGGGACTGAGGCCACTCAGCAAAAGGAAAATCATGACCCACTCTCTCAGTGTGCCAGATGTCAAGGTGGGGTGCTGGAGGTGGAAGGGAGGGGGCTGGGTGACCCTGCCTTACGGGAGTGACTTGATGCTGACCTGGCAGGATGGGCTCCTTAGAGACTTGGAGGGCAGGCGCCCTGAGAGGGAGGAGGAGGCAGGAGGTTCGGACAAGCCGATGCTGAAGGTGTGTGGTGAGAAGACACCAGCAGGCCTGCATTCACTCAATAAATGCAGACAGGCAGGGGAGGTGGGGAGGGTGCCGTGGACAGGGCAGTGGGCAGACCTTGTTCTCTCTCTCAGAAGTGTTCCCATGCAAGCAGCAGGATCTTGGGAGCCAAGCTGAGAATGCCTGATGGTACCCCCTGTCTGTTCCATCCCTGCCCCATCCCCACTCCCACAGAGGACCCCACTGGGAGGAGAAGGGGGGGAGGCAGGAAGTGCTGGGCCTAGGGTATGGAGAAGGGCCAGGGATGGGCTCAGAGCATCTGGCCCCAGGCCTAAGCAAAAATGGTTCATTTACAAGGCTGGGAGACTCGCATCAGCCTTGGGGGCTGGGGAGTCACTCATTCTGGTGGGGCGTGCAGAAACTGATCACATAATCACACTACAGAAAGCATAATGAGAGCACACCGGAAGGAAGCAAGGGTCCGTTTATGTAGGCCAGAGGAATCCCTCACAGGGTGGCCAGTGTACTCTCTCCCCTAAGGAAGAGATGCGCCAGCCAGGCCCAAAAGGATGAATTCGAGTTGGGGGTGTGGAAATGAGGCAGGAATGGAAAATTTCAGGCAGAGGATGCTACACGTGCCCTGAGGCCGGAGGGCCCAGGAGGCTGGAGTGCTGGGGGGGAAGGGGGAAGGTAGAACCAAGATGGAGGAGAGAACAGGTCTCACCATGCTGCCCTTGGAGGACCATGGGAAAGCACTCAGTCCTGACCCCAAGAGCAACGAGAAGCCCCTAAAGACTTTGATTGGTGGGGGTGGTCTCCTGGGCTCCACTTTGGGCATTGACCAGGCAATGATGTCACAGAATCATTCTTTCCCAGGACACATGTCTGGGAGCCCAGTAGGTGAGGAGTCAGCACAGTCTGCGGGGAGAGTCCTTTCCCTTCCTGCCTCACCTCAGCGGAGCCAGCATGTTGGCCTTGCGTTGGGGCACCCTGTGTGTGGTTGGGGGGAAATCGTAATCTCAGGCCCAGACCTGACTCTGTGTGTGTGTGAGCGGGAGGGGTAGGAGGACCCACCCAGCAGCAGCAGCCAGATCTGCAGCCCAAGCCCCAGATTCCAGAGGCAGGCCTCACTGCAGCAGTGTCCTGCCGGGTGCCTTTGTAAGCTGGCACAAAGCAAATGGCTGTGCACAGGGCCCAGCGCGCAAGCCGGTGGCTCTCCACGCACAGCCTGCCGAAGTTCTGTGACCCTGGCCAGGGGAAAGGCTCATTAGGGAAGGTTTTCAGAGCCCCGACTAGCGGAGATGAATAGGACCTTGTGTTTGATCTCAGAAGCTGCTTCACTTGCCAGCAAAACTAACAGGATGGCTAAAATAACCAGCCTTGCAAGCGTGCACATGGGGTGTGGCAGCTGTGTTGGGTGGGTTGAGTCAAGTGTGTAGGCTGGCGTTTCACTGTGGGCCTGAGCAGTACCCAGAAGATGCAAGGTTGGCTCTGTGACTAGGTCTCGGCTGATAGAGACCTGACCACTTTTCTTTTTTTTTTGCTAGGGTCCTGGTCCTGGACAAAGGGGCAGTAGCTGAATTTGACTCTCCAGCCAACCTCATTGCAGCTAGAGGCATCTTCTACGGGATGGTCAAAGATGCAGGACTTGCCTAAAATGTGTTCCTGGGACTTCCTCTTTGCAGTTCCTGGTTTTTATCCGAAAGGAAAAGGACACCAAATGTGCCCACAGAATGGATTTGATGGCAAACGCTGGGGGCTTTTGTTAGATTTTGCACCTGTAAAGTGCCTCATAGAACAACTGTGCTAAATGTTTAGATGAGAAATGAGGTCCACAAGGTGAATGGCAAGCCCAAGGTTACGGCTGGTTTGAGGCAGTCACATGACTCCCCAGGTCTCAATTCCTGATCCAGTGTTATTTCCACACTGTACTGTTTTCAAACAATCATTTCAGAAGATGATCTCCCGTCTCCCTCTGATTTTTCATATTGTCTAAAGTATTTTTTTTAAATAAAAAGCTTTTCTTCCTGGAACAGAAGGCTGCTAGGTCATACCACCCCTGGGAACTGAGTCCTGTACTCTGGGGTGCTGCCTGATTCCATTAAAAATGGAATAGTGATTAAATAAAACATGTGGTAAACAACATATACACTGATGTAGTCTTTTTTTGCCTGTTCACGAGGTTTGAGGATCAGGGCCCTTGAAGGAAGCTGAGAGGAAGCGGGGGAAGCAGAGGACTTTAAACACATCTACATGGCTGCAGTTATCTGAACTACAGACCCAAGAGCTTTTGGCTGAAAATACTGTCTTCTCAACCAAAATTCACTGGGTAATTGCCAGCAGTTCCTGCTCCACTGTGCAGATTCAGTAAAAAGGTGAGAAATAGGCCGGGCTTGGTGGTTCAGCCTGTAATCCCAGCACTTTGGGAGACCTAGATGAGTGGATTGCCTGAGCTTGCAGGTTCGAGACCAGCCCAGGCAATTTGGAGAGACCTGTCTCTACAATAAATCAAAAACTAGCCAGGCGTGGTAGCGCGCGCCTATAGTTCCAGCTACTTGGGAGGCTGAGGAAGAAGGATCACTGCAGCCCAGCAGGTTGCTGCTGGGGTGGCTGTGAGCGTGCCATGGCAATTCAGCCTAGGCAAAGGAGTGGGACTCCAACTCAATAAATAAATAAAGACCCTGAAATCTGTCCCGAGGCCTCTTGGGAAGGCTGTTGTGAACAGTGTCCCCCCAGCCCTCAGCCCGTGTCTCTAGGAGCTGAGAAGTGTGAGGTGCTCTATTTCCTTGCACCCTTAGAAGTCTGTTCCAGATAATTCCCAGAACCAGTGAGGCCTCCGAGCCATTTGTCTTCCTCAGTCCAGCCAAAGCTGGATGTGTGAACACAGAGAAGCCCGAGGTTCCCCCACATTGACAGTCCCAAGCAGGCAAACAAGATGTGAAGGTGAATTAAGTTTTGTGGTTTTTGTTGAGTCAGGGTCTCACTCTGTCACCCAAGCTGGATTGCAGTGGCATGATCATGGCTCATTGCAGCCTCAAACTCCTAGGCTCAGGCGATCCTTCCACCTCAGCCTCCTGAGTAGCTGGGGCTATAAGCATGCAACATCCAGCTAAATTTTCTATTTTTTGTAGAGACAAGGTTTTGCTGTGTTGCCCAGGCTGGTCTCCAACTACTGGGCTCAAAAAATCTTCCTGCCTCAGCCTCCCAGAGTGCTGGGATTATAGGCATGAACCACTGTACCTGGCCAAGTTTGCTTTCTTGAACAAGCCAACCAAGAGTTCATTTCATGCTGGTCAGAGTCCACCTGGCACAGGCCTTACCTTAGCAAGTGTTCTGTTCTCTTCTGTCTCGCTCATTTCCTATCCCTTTATCTTGATATGAATGTGAGTGGCTGGGCGCAATGGTGGTAGGATGTGTGTGGCCATGGGTGATGGCTGTCTTTGCCCCCATCCTAAATGGTTTGCAGTAGACGTGGAGACATCTTTTGATCAGGTTTTTCTATATGCTCTGGGTTTGCCTGTGCTGCAGGATCATTTGCTAAAGGTTAAGCACATTTTTTTTTGGCAGGCTGTTTCTGCCCAGGATGTTTATGAGTATGTGGAAGATGACTTCCATCCTTGTGATAGAGTAAGTATGAAAGCACAAATGCCCAAATTATTCTGCCTCTCCTTGGTGCTAAGAAAAGGTCTCTGCTCTGCTCTCTGATTTATTAGGCCAATTTGGCATGACGTCTGCTCTGTGAGGCGCTAGCCAGCCTGAACCAACAGAAAGGCAGATTCACTCAGCATCATTCTCAGCTACAGACTGAAGGCGGAAGGCTGTGCTTCCTCTCCTGTCTTGGAAGTTTGCTTCTGTGCTCACTGTGGCCCTGACAGGTGCTGACAGCCCAACGGAGAGGCTCAGTTGTGTAGAGTAAATAGGATAATCAAAAAATGTGGTTATTAGGGGGATGACCTCCATCTAGCTGGCTCAGCTATGCCAGGGAAACAAAGCCGACTGCTGTGAGCTGGGTGGAAAGACGCCACACAGACTGTCCCCAGGTGCCATTGACAAGGCGTGAGCGCTGCTGCAGCAGCGGGATGGCAGAGGCTCAGGTGGAGAGTGGGCCCTTCTAATCTTCCTCCAGAGCGTCTGGGCGCTGGGCCCGTCTAGCAATTTGAACCCCCTATGATGAGAAGTATAGTGCTGTTTAGGAGGCCAAAATTAAGGAGTATAGGCTTGATCAGTTAATGTTTAATTTTAATAATACTAGTTATGTTGGAACAGTCAGCAATGCACAAAGAAAAAAGTCTTCAGTGAATGTTTACACACAGTGTGAACACATGCTTTAAATATGCAGTGGAGGAGGAGGGGTGAATTCACAGTTAACAAAGCTAAAAAAAAAAATCCTTGTTATAAATTACACAAAGCATATAAAAATATTTCTCTGAATGCATAGATTAAGACTTTAAACTCACCTACCAGCAACTGTGCAGTCTTATTCCACTGCTGCACACAGGAGTCAGTTGTCCAAAGAGGTTTATAAAGACGAGAGACCAGCACAGGGCAGAGCCACGCAGATCCAGCTCTCCCCCAGACACCAAGACCTTGCTCAGCAGTCTCGAAGCTGGGGAAGGCCTGGAGCTGCTCTCTTGTAGGCACCTCCCGACCAGGGGTCTCCACTGCTCCTGGGAGTCTCGAATTAATCTGGGTGGCTGAAAGTTTTAACTCCAGTAATTTAGATGTGAATTAATACTGAATTTCTTTCCTCCACAATAGAATTTACTTCCTTCATTGCATTGGTAAATTGTAATTTTCTTCAAAGCAAAGGAAAAAAAAGGTTACATCTAGCTCAACTAGCTTCTGATTGGTTGAAACACAAGGGAGTTTTCTTCTTTTAAAGCACTTGAGAGAAAGAGGGTAATAAGTAACCTTCACTGTGCTATGCAAACACTGTACAAGGGTGAGTAAGTCACCAGCAGTCGTGGCTGGAATACAATTAAGTCACTAAACAGAGTGACTCCGTGAAGTTGGCCTTGAAAAACATCTCAACCTCATTTCAGCATTTAGGCAGCAGCAGGAGGCCATTATCTTAGCATGACATTCTCTTCCGTTGACATCTTCTGCACGTTCTCACTCAATTGTCACGTTCTAATAAAATTAAGTTAACACAGGAAGTTAAGTTTCTTTGGAAACTATAGGCACTATGGGGAAAAGCTTCTTAAGACGGCAGGGATGCTCCTCCATGGCTGGCGCTACGCCCCAGCTCCTGCTCGTCTATGTGTGCTAGTTCTTATATCTAAAGTGAAGCTGTTTGTTTCAGCAAGACAGTGGCTTTTCTCTGAACAGTGACTCTGAAAGGAAGGAAAGGGATCCTTGAATGTAGTCTTTTAAAAAATTCATGCGCCACGCTCAAGAGTTGAGTCAGGTGTTTGTTTTTGTTTTTCGGAACTGAGTCTGGCAGACTCACACTGACTTTGTTAAGTGACTTGGTGGGGGTAGTGGGGGATTGCCAAGATCAAATAATTGGTTTACAAAAGCAACAGATTTCAGAGTTGTGTAAAAATTCTAATAATTTCAAAATAAACTGTATCTTTGATATAAAAATAAAGACGCTACCTCCTTTAGCTCAGTTCCCACAATAACCTTTAAAGTAGCAACAGATCCGGTCTCAAAAATCGCTTTTCGTTTCTAGTGGAAAACGAAAGTGGAGGACATGGGCCCGCAATGCTTGTGCTCTTCTCAGAGGGTGAATTAAACACAGACGACAGGGGTCACTTCAGAGTAAAACGCAGTTGCTCTGTTAGAAGGCACCAGAGAGCCCTCTAGTGGCCAGGAAGGGGAGTTAATGCAGAGATGACTCGAGAGACAGAAGCAGTCATGAGGGTTGACAAAGAAAGAGTGGGGGAGGGGAAGCTCTTTTGGTTAACAGCGTATTTACAATTAAGTAACTGTATTCTTAAATACTTTTAACCTGAGTAACTTTTATAAATATGCTATATTAAACCTCACAGTCACAAGTCCTGCTAGAATTTGTCCAGTACCTGTGCTTCCCCAGCGTTCCTCTCTAACGAGTTCCCGATTTCAGGAGAGTTGTGAGCATGCAACACCAAGAAAAGCGCATCCCGGCCCTTCAGGTGCACTGTCAACAGGAGTGGCTAGAAATAGGCTCCGCTCTCTCTCAGCTTCTGCTTAGACAACTCTCTTACATTTCGCACATAAAACACACTGGATATAGAACCTCCGGCTTCTGCCTCTCCAGACCACTTCTCAGCTGTTCAAAGCTTCAAGCAATAGGTTTATTGTGCACCAAGAGGCTTGGAAGAGTGGCACCGCTGCTTGGGGGTCAGGGGCTTCCTACCTTGGCAGAACGATGTTAGTGTACACTATGCAGTGGCACCAGGGCCCTCCGGGGCATCCAAGGCATTGGGATCAATGGCTTGTCCTTGGCCCAGAGGTGACGTGCACTGTCACAATACTCAGTGATAAAAGTCCTTGCTACATTAGTAAGTCAGTTTTGAAGCTCTCCTGTTATAACAAGGCCTTTCAGTCAGTGTGGATGCAGCATTTCTGAACAGAAAATTATTTTCACTTATCATCAGAACCAGTTCCAGTTCTTGGAAATCTTGAAGTCGAGCAACATCTTTGTCCTAAAACAAAAATAAGTTAAACCAATTAAGAGGAGCCACTTGTCTTCGTACGTCTGGTGTGCTATATTGATACCAGTATCTTGGCTCATTTAAAAACTCAGAAGTCAAAAACAAACAAACAAACCATGGCAGGCTTAGCCAGCGACAGTCCCCAGGATGAACTGGGTTGGAATGGTAGAAGCCCATCCCTTTCAGCAGTGACTACAGGATGAAGACACACCTTGAAAGGGGAGGCAATGCATGAGTCACTTTTCTTTGGGGGCCCCGAGAAGTCAGAAGCCTGGTGCTCAAGAACCCAGAGATGTTGGGAGGACCATGTATGTGTTGATGTGGGTGTGCCCTGTAACCTGACTTGGTTCTTGACTTGTAAAACACAAGGCATACATAGAATTGCACTAAGTCATTCCTCATAGATCACTACAGCAACAATTGAAAACAGGCAGATATGAATGGTAACTCAGAAAATTCTGTCTGGTGTATCCTATAACTTTCAAAAATGCCAGCATAAGCAGGTCTGAATCCAACGGTGTTTACAACTAACTGACCACAACCAGTTAGGGACTTCTTTGTTCCTTCTCCACTCTTACTGCTTCACTTGACTACCCTTAAAAAAAAATTCCAGTGTCTCTATCGACTCAGAAGGAGGAAAGAAAGTCGAATGATTACATGTGGAAAACCACTCTTTACTCTTTTTCTATTCTCTGTTCATTTCTTCAGCTATGACTCACATAAGCAAGGGAGAAGATAGGTATTTTCCAAATGCAAAAAGCAACAACTCATATTTAACAGACTCTTCTTACCTTTCTTAACAGAGTATTGGGTAACTTTCTGATCTTCTCCACTTGATCTGGATTAACACCCAACTCACAGCAACATACTCTGAGCAGCTCTTGGTAGGTGAGCTCCTGTCGGTCCAGTTCAATTTCAATGAAGTCATTTTCTCGAAGAGATGGGTTCTGAATTCTCACCTTGAGTACCAGTTCTAGAATAAAAGAGAAAAATGGTAATGAATGGTTCTGGCATAGTACAGCCTAAGTCATTTAATATCTTTTCCAGAGATGGTTACACTGAATCATGCTCTATGCCAAAGGTCTGTGCTACCTAAAGAGAAAACCAAGCAGGGTTTGCTTAGGCCCACTTCTGGCTCTGCTGGGGTCATTCCTGTGTTGTCTTCCCTGCATCTAAGACTGTAGTTCACAAAGTAAAAGAGGGGTGGGGGCAGCCATCCCAGCTGTATAGAAGGGTAATTTACTTCTCCCATTGGAGCTAAGGAGGCAAAGACTTAAGAATGGTTTGGAATGAACATTTGTATACCTAACCCTGAATTGCACCCCACATCTTTAAACAAAAAAAAAGAATCATTTGGTTCAACCTGAGAAAGGTGACTTAAAAAACCCAAAAGAGGGCTGTGTGCGGTGGCTCATTCCTATAATCCCTGCACTTTAGGAGGCCCAGGTGAGAGGATTGCCTGAGCCCATGGGCTCAAGACCAGCCTGGGCAACTTGGTAAGACCTCATCGCTACAATAAATCACAAAATTAGCTGGGCATGGTGGTGTGTGCCTGTAGTTCCAGCTCTTTGGAAAGCGGAGGCAAAAGGATCATCTGAGTCCAGCAGGTTGAAGATGTGGTGACCATGAGCGTGCCACTGCACTCCAGCCTGGGCAACAGAGTGAGACTCCAACGAAGGAAGAAAGGGAGGGAGGGAGGAAGGGAGGGAGGGAAGGAGGAAGGAAGGAAAAGGTGAAGGGGAAGGGAAGAAGGAAGGAAGGAAGGAAAGAAGAAAAGGAAGGAAGGAAAGAAGGAAGGAAGGAAGGAACCATAAGACTGAGTTTGGGTATCAAACATGAGCATGGGAAGGGGTAGGGATTGGAAAGAAGGCATGGGTACATGAGTTACTCTAAAAAGATTGAACAATTATGGATCTCAAGGTATTTATAAACTATGAAACTCCTTGCAATAAAAGCAGTAAAGGCCAGTAGACAAGCTACTAATACAAACTAAAATATAATTCTGATTTGAATATGGTATACCTTAATAAGGAAGGGGTCCATGGGTCTGGGATCTAAGCAGTCTGGCTCTTTATCCTGAGCCTGGCTACCCAGACAATCCAAGACAAACACCCATGTACATGTGGCAGTTCTGCTTTGCTCCTTATGTATGAATCCCTCATAGCACTCCTAGGCCACGTTATCAGCACTTATGGTAGCAGGTGCTAAAACACAGGAAGTTAGGAAGTCACTTATAAATAAAAAAGAAAGGAAGTACTAGACTGTGCCCTGTGGTGTTCAATGGAATTAAAAGTATTAGGATGAAGTTGGGCATGGTGGTTTACGCCTGTAATCCCAGCACTTTGGGAGGCCAAGGCAAGAGGATTGCCTGAGCCCAGGAGTTTGAGAGCAGTCTGGGGAACTTGGCGAGACTTCATTTCTACATAAATCAAAAAATTAGCTGAGTGTGGTGGCACGTGCCTATAGTTCCAGCTACTTGGAAGGCTACGGCAGAAGGATCACCCAAGCCCAGGAGGTCAAGGCTGCAGCAGCCGTGATTATGCCACTGCACTCCAGCTTGGTTGACAGAGTGAGACTCTGACTAGAAAAAATGATAATAATAAATAAAAGTATCAGGATGGAATTGTGGTTTTTAAAATTCTTAAAAAGAGGCTGGGCGTGGTGGCTCAGCCTGTAATCCCAGCACTTTGGGAGGCTGAGGCCAGAGGATTGCCTGTGCCCGGGATTTGAGACCAGCCCGGGCCACTTGGTGACACCTCATCTCTACAATAAATCGCAAAAACTAGCTGGGCATGGTGGTGTGCGTCTGTAGTTCCAGGTACTTGGAAGGCTGAGGCGGAAGGATCACCTAAGCCCAGCAGGTCGAGGCTGCGATGGTTGTGAGCGTGCCACTGTACTCCAGCCTGGGGAACAATAGTGAGACTCCAACTCAAGAAAAAAAAAAAATTCTTTTTTTTT